CTAAGATATAATTTTTTTAAGATTTATGTATTTTAGAGAGCGAGCGCATGTGTGGGAGGGGCTGAGGGAGAAGGAGAGAGAATTTCAAGCAGACTCCACCCTGAGCACAGAGACGCACATGGGCCTCAGTCACACAACACTGAGATCATGACCTGAGCCGAAATCAAGAGTTGGTTGCTTAACTGACCGCGCCACCCCGGCGCCCCAACTATCTAAGACTTAAGTTAAATTGGGCTAAGATGAAAAGGATGTCAACAAGATGACAACAACTGGGATAAAGTGTATCAAAAACACTCCTTAAAATGTAGCAAGCTATACAAATGTAAGAAACAATTAATGTTCTTCCAAATGCTGACACATTACATGAGCTATATAGAACCAAAGGCCATTTGTATGTTATAAATGTGTATATTATGAAGTGCCTTCAAAATAATTCTTAGTAATAAACAAAATTCACTCAAAATATGTCCACATTTATTTGGGAGACTTTGTACATTCATCATCAATTACTCTCACTTGCAAGACAGTGAATTTAGTTTTTCATGCCTGCCTTAAAGTTTTACCAATTCTAATACCTACAGCTTAAAGGAATATAGAACCCTATTGTAACCCACTAGTTTACAGTAACCAATTCAGATGCCTCCATGACAGAACCATTATGAAGAGTCAGACCCACAGACGGTGTTTATTTGTTTTCTATCAAGTTCTCATACTTGGAAATTCTTTGGTTTGCTTGCTTGCTTAATTGTGAATGGTAACAAAGGTGCCATAGAAAAATAGCAACAAATGAGGAAAGAATTACTGAAAAAGAAATGCTTTTTTAAAAATCAGCAAGAGGATACTTACCTGGCAGGGGAGATACCATGATCACAAAAATCAGCAAGAGGGGTGCCTGGGCAGGTCAGCAGGTTAAGCATCTGACTCTTGGTCTCAGCTCAGGTCTTGATCTTAGGGTTGTGAGTTCAAGCCCCACGTTGGGCTCCAATGCTGGGTGTGGAGCCTACTTAAAAAAGGCGGGGGGGGGGGGGAGGGGTGCAAAAAAATCAGCAGGAAAAAGCTCATGAACTCAGCTCTGTAAGAGCAAGAAGTAGAAACCCTGTCTTGATCAGTGGCTCATCTTGTTGGGTGCTCCTAGAACGCGGTTCCCCTGAGTACCCCCCTCCCTTCACAGGCTGTGGGGCTCGGTTTTCTGTCACTGGATTACTTAAGCTCTTTGAAAGAGTTGTTTTTCCCTACTTTGCTCCAGGCTGTTGGGCTTGCATTTGGTGTAGGTTCTCTGAAGCAATGAGGCTGGTGTTATCATTCAGCACTCTGATTTAAATACTCTCTTAATTCCTCCTGTTTAGTCTGGCTCATTGGGTGTTGCCCATAAAAAGTTTGGCTTCTATAATCACAATTAGAGCAGGGTGATGTGACTAATCAGTCTGTTCGCTGCATCTCTATCTTCTGTGAAGTGAGTCAGTTTCAACATTAGCTTTGTGCTCTCATGGCACTCCCTACTCTCTAATGTTCAAGTCTATATTTGTTCCAGACTCTAGATGTTTAAAAAAAAAAAAAAAAAGGAGGCTGTTTGTTTTCATTCTTAAAACATGTTCTATACTCCCTCTCGGGAGTGGAACTAACCCCACAGGAATTTGGAGAAATTCCCAGAGTGCTAGCTCACGACAGAGAATTTCCAGGGCAGGGAAGCTGTTTGTTCCCTCATTTGGGGAAATTCTACTGATTAATACAACTAGTGCAAGTCAACACACACATAATGAATGTTTACCATGTGCAAAGCACTTTTCACATATCATTGTTTTAAAATAAGGTTTCTTTTAGGGCGCCTGGGTGGCTCAGTTGGTTAAGCGACTGCCTTCGGCTCAGGTCATGATCCCAGGGTCCTGGGATCGAGCCCCACATCGGGCTCCCTGCTCCTTGGGAGCCTGCTTCTCCCTCTCCCACTCCCCCTGCTTGTGTTCCCTCTCTCACTATCTCTCTCTCTGTCAAATAAATAAATAAAATCTTTAAAATAAAATAAAATAAAATAAGGTTTCTTTTAGAGCAGTTCTAGAAAAACAGCAGTTTGCAGAAAAATTACGGACAGTAAATTTCCATATATCCCATACCTAGTCTTCCCTATTATTAGCATCTTACATAGGTATGATATATTTGTTACAATTTATATAATAATATATGATGATAGTGTATTAATGTTTCATAAACTGATGCATTATTAATAACTAATATTCATGCTTTATCCATATTTCCTTCGTTTTTACCTATTGCCCTTTTTCTGTTCCAAGATCCCAACCCAAATGCAACATTACATTTAATGATCATATCTTCTCAGGCTCTTCTTGACTATGAGAGATTCTCAACTTTTGAGGAGTACTGGTCAGGTATTTTGCTGAACACCCCATAATTGTGATTTGTCTCATCTTTTTCTCATCAGAATGGGGTTAAATGTTTTTGAGAGGAAGACCACAGAGGTAGAATGACATTTGCAAAACATAATGTCAAGGGTGTATACTATCAACATGACTTATATTGTTGATGCTAACTTTGATCAAGTGGCTGAGGTAGTATTTGTCAGATTTCTCTACCATACCTTTCAAGTAACTTTGTCCTCTTTTTCCCCCTTTTTATTCTATATTCTTCGGAAGGAAGTCAAAATATGCACAGCTTATACATAAAGAGTAGAAAGTTATGGTCCACCTCTTTGAGGGCAGAGTATCTGCATAAATTATTTGAACTTCCTATTAATTCAGTCATTTATTTATATCAGAAGGGATTCAAGGATTTTTAAAATAATACTTTGAGTTATAATCCCCCAAATCCTTCTTTATTTATTTTCTTGCTCAAATTTTTCCAGCTTTGGCCATGGAGAGCTCTTTTATTTCGCTCCTTGTCCCTTTAACATGCTCCTTCATTGTGTGTGTGTGTGTGTGTGTGTGTCTTTTGAAACACCTCCTTAATTTCTGGGTCTACAAGATGTTCCAGGTTCATCTTGTATATTTCATGTCCCAGTCCTAGAACCTCCTATTTCTCTAAGGAACCTGGTTCCTTTTATTGGAGAATGGTATTAGGAATCAGGTTCTGGATGATGGATATGATCATTGTTACTGGAGTGTCTTTGCTTCTCAGCTGAAAGGGAAAGGGACTATATGTGCATATACTAAACCAGATATTTGCACATATGCATGAATATTTCTATATGTAACTATTTGTATCTATATTAAGCCAAACATGAGTTCATAGAGATGTCTCCAACTTCAGTCCATTACCACGTGGATCATTCTAGTCTCCTCCCTTTGCTCCAACAGTGAGATCCTGGGCTCCTACCATCCCCCATCCCTGTATTTAATTGTTCAATTTCAGTATACATGTATAACAGTGCCCAAATTGTTGGTAACATGTACCCCTGTGGAGGCAACTGTATCAACTACTTTTCCAGAGAGTCTGGAAGACATTTTTCTGGATGGCCATGGACCTGGTATCATACAACAATTCTGTTACTAAGGAAGAATGGGAGAATCAATAAGGGAACACAGTTAATGGTCTCCACCACAGACTGCATTGAAGTGACAGGTCACAAAAGAGAAAAATCCAGTGGCCTTATTTTGAATTTTAGCTGAGTTTCTATGAGAAAGTTAGCAGTTTTCTTCCTCAGACTACAACCTTTTGACACAATGCTCATTTCCTCCCTTGGCCACAACACCAGTTTCATCTTCTTTCGGCTTCCACAGCCATCAGCCATCACTAATAGCAGTAAGGGGAGCAACCCTATTGAGCACATTACAAACTGAGACATGAGAGGGCACAGCGGAGCAATGAGATGGCGAGGGATGGATAAATGGAAGTATCCACTGGTTGTTGGGCGGCGAAGGTAGCAGAGATTGCACCTGGGCGCTGACTGACCTAAGATACTAATATGACAAGGACAAGAAACATAGATGAGGGGATGGCTTTTCCAAATGACCGTTAGTGAGGCTCCTTCCACAACTTCGACTAATCTGTGCCCCTTCATTGATCTATTATCAAATCAGTTGTCACTGTGCTATTTTTCATCCAGTGGCAGTTGGCAATTCTAAAAACAAACCCTTCCATACCCACTCTCCAGACCTGACCTGATACCTAGGGACTGTTATGCCAATATTTGGGAAAGAACAAGCAACTCTGCACAGGGAAATCTAAAGTTTTCCCTACCACATGAGAAGATTCGAGACTAAGATTCTTGAAAAAAGAAAATGACACGGTAGGAAAGGGGGCTTTGGAGATTCACTCATCTGGGTTTGAATCCTAGCTCTGCTGCTGAATAGCTGTGCAACCCTAAATAAATCATTTGCTGCCATATATATTAAATTGATAATAAAATATTAAATGTAATTCCTTAAAATAATATCAAAATGGTATATTTTATTAATATTTAAAATTATACCTGACAAAACCTGTAGAATCTTATGGCACAAAGAGAGAACCTTAATGCATGCAAATTTACAAATCCTTTAGGAAGTCGAGGGATCCCAGGATGGAATGCAGAATGTGACAAAACTGTCTGAATCACACTTGTATGAAACAACCTCACGCCCGGGGTGGGAGGTGAGGGGAAAAGGTGTCAAAGGAAGTAACTTTGGAAATGTGTGGAGTGTGGCAGACTACAGGCAAAAGAAAGTGTACGTTCGGGGCGCCTGGGTGGCTCAGTCGTTAGGTGTCTGCCTTCGGCTCAGGTCATGATCCCAGAGTTCTGGGATCGAGCCCCGCGTCGGGCTCCCTCCTCCGCGGGAAGCCTGCTTCTCCTCTCCCACTCCCCCTGCTTGTGTTCCCTCTCTCTGCTGTGTCTCTCTCTGTCAAATAAATAAATAAAATCTTAAAAAAAAAAAAAGCTGCTTTAAAAAAAAAAGAAAGTGTACGTTCACACTGTGCTTTAGTTGGAAGTGGAATATGAAGCTTCCTGTAACCATCCTAAAAATGAGAGGGGCTGCCCTTCTCCTCACTTTTTTTCTTTCCTTGTTGCCCAGGTGGAACAACCATCTTGGACGTGAGGTGGAAGACAAGGGTTGAGGAGGCTGGGGACAAGAAGATAGAAGAAGCTTATCTTTTTTTCATGATTACGGAGCCACCAAGCCAGCTGAATTGACATAGAATGAAAAAGAAACTTCCGCCTTGTTTAACTCACTCTTAATTTGAATTTCCTGTCACAGATGAATCTAATCCCAACTAATACAGATTTTACTTGTACCCTTTCCGCCCTACCTTTTAACCCTTCAATTCCTGGATCCCTCAAACAAAATGAGGGTGCACAACTTTTCATGATATAACTCCCTCGTAAGTCGTTCTGTGGTATCCTTAAGCACCTATTCCGACCAACGAAAGGGATGCGTAAAGTGGACTCTTGCTCACAAAAAGATGTGCCCTTGCATGGGATAATAACAATTGTCAGGAGCATAATTTGTATTAACTCATCATCCTCACAAAAGAGTTACTTAAATGGCCAAACAGTATACCTTTAGCTTTTGTCTCCTTTATATCAAAAGTACATACTTAATGAATTTGGGGAGAAATGCCAAGAAGTGTAGCCTTTAAAAATGTAAAGCTTAGGTAGTAAGAGTCGAAGATCTCTCTCTCCCCTCCCTCCTGGACTTTGACGTTCCACTGGACTTGGGATTTATAAGTCTGTTCAAAAAATCATGGAGCAGAAAAGGAAGACGGCAGTTAAGAGTTACTAAGTGTCCATTTCAAATTGGTTACCCAGCGACCGCTGGATTTGGAGGTTACAAGGAGCAGTGCCAGGGGCTTAGGATGGAAAAGCTCACCTGAGCTACAAACTGACTCCATTAAACACTGTGTCTGTGTGGTTTTCTTTCTTTCTTTCTTTTTTTTAAGATTTTATTTATTTACGACAGAGAGAGACACAGCGAGAGAGGGAACACAAGCAGGGGGAGAGGGAGAGGGAGAAGCAGGCTTCCCGCTAAGCAGGGAGCCCGATGCGGGGCTCGATCCCAGGACCCTGGGACCATGACCTGAGCTGAAGGCAGACGTTTAACGACTGAGCCACCCAGGCACCCCTGCGTGGTTTTCAAAATAAGAATCAGCTTTTGGGGTTATGTGGGCTGATGCGCAACTGACCATCTGTTTTGTTTGTCCTATCTCACCTTCTGACAAGGTCAGCGTGCTCGCTGTGTTTGTAGAAAACCCACTCACGGTGTGAATAACATCTGACAGCATTTGAAGCCAAAACAAAATCTCTTTTAAAGTTCCTAGATGCCGGGGATGGCCCCTCTGTCAAGACACAGATTTAAAAAAAAAAAAAAGTCTGCTTTTAACAAAATTAATTTTCCTTAAACTCACAGAATAAGGTTGAAGAGTTTAAAACAGTATTAAATTTAAAAATTTTTTAAGTATTCTAAGAATACTCTAACCTAGCCTCTCAAGTTTTCATCTATTTGTGTTCACTTCCAGGAAACTAAGACAAATACCTGTAAAGAGAGAAATGCAGGCTGTATTGCAGGAGTTGTGGTATTTCATATTTAGATTCTATCATTAAGCTGCACCTCTATTTCCTTTGTGTTAAGCCTCTCTCCTTGTTTATACCTATTTTCTATCTGTATTTCAAAATCGTAAAAATATTTCATCTGTATGATTACTTTGTGAAGTCGTTGGGGCTCTAACCTCTCAAAGAGAAAGCCTCTCAATAGAGTTTAAATACACATCACACATGCTATATAGGCAAGAAATGAAATTACTATTAAAAATAAAATTGGGGGGGCGCCTGGGTGGCTCAGTTGGTTAAGCGACTGCCTTCGGCTCAGGTCATGATCCTGGAGTCCCGGGATCGAGTCCCGCATCGGGCTCCCTGCTCGGCAGGGGGTCTGCTTCTCCCTCTGATCCTCCCCCCTCTCATGTGCTCTCTCTCTCTCTCATTCTCTCTCTCAAATAAATAAATAAAATCTTTAAAAAATAAAAAATAAAATAAAATAAAATAAAATAAAATAAAATAAAATAAAATAAAATTGGGGGCGCCTGGGTGGCTCAGTCGGTTGAGCGTCTGACTCTTGGTTTTGGCTCAGGTCATGATCTCAGGGTCGTGGGATCGAGCCCCCCTACTCAGTCTCCCTGCTCAGCAGGGAAGTCTGTCTAAGATTCTTTCCCCTCCCTCTCCCTCCACTACTCCCCCTGCTCATACGTGCTCACTCCCCCACCCAAATAAATAAATAAATAAATAAATAAATAAATAAAATCTTTTTTAAAAAATTAAAATAATTCACAGGGATTCAAATAGTTATTTGTATACTAATGTTCATTGCAGCATTATTCACAATAACCAAAAAGTGGGACAACCCAAGTGTCCATTAGCAGATGATGGATAAACAAATGTAGTGTATGTAAAAAATAGAACACTTTGAAGAGAGCAACTCTTTGCAACTTGTTACGGTCTTTCCAATCTTGCTCTATGTATGTATAGTTTTTAAACCTTTGTGGTCAATGTGTTGAATATTTCATGAGTGACCTCAGACAAACCACTTCAGTTTCACTCGTCTGTTTTCTTATCAGCAAATGGAGAGAATTGCTTCTATTTCACAAGGTTGTTGTGAAGAATAAATGAGGTAATGTAACATAAACACAATTTGTGAACTCAGAAGTATAAAATTACGAGGTATAATACGTGTGATAGTTTCTTATATGCTTTCCTATATATCAGTTTTAATGGTCACATATTATTCTAACTGAATTACTGCCATAGTTTATTTAACCGTTGTCCAGTTGTTACTCATTCTTGCTTCTTGGCCATCATAAATAAAGTTGATTATAAACATCTCTGCATGATTAGCATTTTTCCCTACTGAAATAATTCCTTAGGATGAATTCCTAGAAGTGGAATAAGTGGGTCCAAGTAGTTGGAACATTCTTCTTTAAATGATGTACATCTTCTTAGTCCAGAAAAAAAAAACCAAAAACTTCAAAACCAAAAAAACAAGTTAATTATGATGCACTGCAATTCAGATGAATTGAAAAACTAAATCTAATCCTGGCGGTGATAACAACTCAGCACATATAAAACCACATCAGCATAATTTTCAAATAATTACATTTCCTTCGATCCTGGAACATGTCTTCCAATGGCTAAAAATCCTTTTTGGAATGTGGCAGGATAGAGCATGAAATGCCAAGACCGTGACCTGGTAACCTTCTTGTCCAGTTTTAGCAGCCTCTGTTTACAAGAGACCTCGTTTTTAGAGGATAAATTTCTTCCCATCAAGGTTTCAGGCACTTTTTTTTTTTTTCAGTTGATTTAGATTCAGAGCAAAGTAATTTTGGTAAAGGATGATTTGCTACATAGATTTTAGGTTAAAGTTGGGGAGATGAATTCTGTGCTGCACATATATAAAATATGAAAATATATTCTTCATGTTCTGTTCCAATTTTCTGGAAATACGATCTTAATATTTATAAAGTATATGCAGATTCCTAGACTCCTGAATATAAATGCTTTTACTCCCTATTATCTAATACATTTTTGGAGGCTTAAATGCTCAAATTGGCAAGAGTTCTCTCTGCCCAAAAGATTCTTTTTTGAATTGAAATTCTGCTTTCCTCTGGGCCATTTCTTTAGGGATGGCTGCAGGAGTCAAAGGAGAAATATCTGAGAAACTAATATGGTTCAGTAAAAACGTTCCCTATGAGATGTTGCAGGGGAATACTTAACATCGTTAATTAAGGGGCCAATGTGATTGATCATTAAATGATTAGCTCTCCAGGGCTCATTTTGTTTCTCTAGATACTTCTTTTTTTAAATGACTTGAGAGGGAGTTAAGAAAAGGTATAGTAGACAAGTACTGGCTAAGAGGTAGAATTGATTTATGGTTTCAGCTTTGCCACTAACTAGCTCTATGACCAGATCTAAGTTACGTACCTGTTTGAGCTTTAGTTTCTTCAACTACAAAGTTGAATCTAACAAACATTCTGTGGCTCCGTATGGAGCAGAGTCCTCCCCCGCCACCTCCCAACGAAGTCATCTTTCGGGGGCCAAATAACCAAGAAAAGTCTTCTCACTGTTGTGTTACTGCTAGCGCGTTTCATTTGTGCAGGTGTGGGTGACGGGGTGGGTGAGAAGAGAGATTTCCACTTTGCTACGTATCAGCAGTTGAAAAACAGATTGAAAAAAACACTGCGCTCTCCTGTGTTTGGGCCAACAGGAATCAGGTCACCCTGACCTCATGGTCCCACAGACACTGCCAGGAAGCCTGCAAAGTCCGTCCAGTGCTGCTGAGACAGCAGGTTTGGCAGGGCCGAGAGGAAGCTGGAAGGAGCAGGGCAGCAAGGTAATGCTGTAAAGGGGCGAGTGTGGGGCGCGGACTAAGTACCGAAATAACACCTGCCTCACTGGTCATTATTAGCGCTTTCAGAAATCTCTTGATGACACAATTCACAGCGCTCGAAACAAATAATACATTATATGTTTAAAAAAAAAAGAAGATAGCAGGAAGAGAAAAATGAAGGGGGGGGGAAATCCGAGGCGGAGACGATATGAGAGATGATGGACTCTGAAAAACAAACTGAGGGTTCTAGAGGGGAGGGGGTGGGGGGATGGGTTGGCCTGGTGATGAGTATTAAAGAGGGCATGCTCTGCATGGAGCACTGGGTGTTATACGCAAACAATGAATCATGGAACACTACATCAAAAACTAATGATGTCATGTATGGTGATTAACATAACATAATAAAGTTAAAAAAAAGAAATCCCTGGATGAGCCAATAGAATTACCTAGGGAGGGGAAAAAATCCCTTTAACTTAAGCGAACTTCACTTCAGGTTCATTCATACTTGAAAAAAGTTAACTGCAATACTTCTACTTGTTGTTAAGGCATTAAGATTCCTTTCAGATTCAAATTCTGGCAGTGGCTTCTTTAGGTCTTCCTTCCATGTTTCTCCGGCCTTGCTGTTGAATCTCGGACCCAGGCTGGTTGGACCAACTCCTACAAAGTACCGTTGTGAGAGCTGAGTGAAAGCAAGCACCAGGTCTCCTTCCCTTCCAGTCCCACTTCCTCTGCCCAGCCCCGGGGCGTTGGTGCCGGCCCTCCTAGCAGCTTGGCTAGCCTGGCCTGCACACCTCTGCTAAAGGCCCTCACTCTTTCATCCATGCCTAAAACCTCTCTGACCCTTGGTGTATACCCTGCTTCTTCTCCCCGCAAGCCCTTGGCTCCTGGAAGATGATTTGCCATGGGCTGCCGGTTGACCTTCCCTGGCTCTCTCTGCCTAGAAGGTTCTTGCCCTGTTCGTTGGCATAGTAAATGCGTACACCTGCCATCCTTCAAGACTCAACTACAATGTCTCTTCTAGGCACTGTACTGCTTTCTCCTTCCGCGGAGCTGCCTCAGCACCCAAGAAAATAA